ACCGTGAGATCATGACCTGAGCTGAAGTCAGCTGCTTAACTGATGGAGCCACCCAGGCGCCCCTAAAAAGGCCTTTTGATTTTCCTACCAAATCTGCCCAAGGAATCCCAAAATGAATTTAAATTTAGAAGCAGCAGGGAATCGTTCTTGGGGAAAGATCTTACCTCCTCTGCTTCGTCTTCTTGATCCCAGTTCCTGTCGGTCAATTCCTTCTCAGCAATTCTTTTGGCCATTGTTTCAACCCTACGTTAAAAGTGAAAGAAGTGAAAAGTTTACTTTTCTGGATCAAGATGTAATTCCTTACAACGAATTTTTAAAGAATTTTTACGAAGAATTTTAAACAATGCTAAACCAGCTCCGTTTGAAAAAACACTATAACACTGATTTTTAAAAATCTGAAGTACTGTATACGTAATCAACAAGTGATTAATTTATTCTATGCAAATTATAATCACAGTCTTGCTACAGGCAAAACATCTTAAACACTTCAAATTCTCTTAAAGATGATTCAGTAAAGAAGCTCATCCTTAGACAAGAATTTTAATAAGGCAGTGGAAATACCTTCACAGCATGAGTACCTTTCTTTAGGCTACAGACAATTGACAGAAATAAATTTCCCGAGACTGAACATTTAATTACCCCAATCTGTATACTGCTAAGCTAGAATATCATTTAAAAGTTCAAAATGTAATTAATATCGATGTGTTAACATTCTGAAATTTTACGTATAACCCTTCAAGAATAAGACATCAGCTCAACTCTAAAGCCACTGTTATGAGGCGGGGGGCAACAGTATTATCTCTGCAGCGGACACAAGCAGCTAACCAGAGAGGGTACTTGAAACCATCCCTTAAAATTTGCAATGTTTTCTGATCCTAACATATGTTGTTTACTATAAAAAACAAAAATACCAGAACACTCAACAGAGAGCTCCATCGTGAGTGCTGAACTGGCTCGTTCTCTAACTCACCAGCTAAATGGACCAAGCAAAGTCCATTTCCCGTGCTACCCGCCTTGCCTGGAATTCACCAGTTCATTCAGGGTCCCTGAAACCTGTCTAGACTCCTTTCTGAAGGTCTTTCCCCACTCATTTTACTCAACACCACAACCTACCAGAGTCAGTTCCTAGAATTTCATGGTCATTAAGATACACATTTACACCCGGCCTATTTCTCTTTACTACCTACACAATAAAATTCAAATGTTGACATTCCAAACTCTGGCCCCCTGTGGAGTCATTACATAGGGGATTTTCAGCTTTTAACAATATCTTAATAATATCTAAACTTCTCTTTTACAAGTACGTACATGCTTTCTTTCCTGATTATAGAATAAATGGTTTTAAAGCCCAAGTTGCTAACACATGAAATATGAGACCCAGCCATTACCTGCAAATCCTTTTTTAAGGTCTCCCCCCACCAAATACCTCGTTAAGTTTTGCCATTAATCTTTGTTATTCAAACAATCAAGGTACTTTCAGACATGATCTTACTGAACTCCAAAGGTTCAGAGGCCAGGTCTCTGCTGGGATTCTTTTCCTACTCAGTAAGTAACACCTCCACCAGAGGGCAGAAGAGGGGAGAAGTTGAAATAGTCGCTTTTGCCGTAACTGTAAGTGATTAAGGCAAAAAAGGGTGACGCTGAAAGTGCAAAAACCATAGTAAAATTTCAGCATCTAACGCACACCCACAAGTGAGGAGACAACCAGCAGAGTAAAAACCAAAATGAACACAGCTGCGTCCATATCCTACCCTATTTATTGAATCTGTGACCTCGCCACAGGGCAGGGATCTTCGCTGTGTTTACTGACCCCCTCCAAATGCCCCGAACCTGTCCATCTTCTAGGAGGTATTCCAGAAGCGCTCAATCAGTGACCCGGGGCACTACGGATTTCGGAAAATGCTACAAGATGCCGGCATCTCAGTTCTGCCATTTTCTTGCTAGACCTTTGGCAAGTTATTTAACTGTTGTGACTTGGCCTCCTCATCTGTAGACAAGGCAGGTGTGGTGAAGTAAGATCAAGAAAAAAGTTAGTTTAGTTCGCCTAAATGTTGCTGCCCACTTCAGCAAGGTCACGACATCTCGCCCGTGAGTTCGAAAGCCCGCCGGGTTTGGGCTGATGGTGAGCCTGAGCCTTACTTCCTGATTCTGTGTCTCCCCTCTCTCTGCCCCCCGCTCATGCTCTGTCTTCTGTCCCAGTAATAAACGCTGGAAAAAAAAATTAAAAAAAAAATACCTAGGCTTGCGGCTCAGTCGTTAAGCGTCCGATCTCACCGGCTGAGGCTCTGACTCACCGATCTGTGAGTTCGCCCCGTCGGCGCTCAGTGTTGACAGTCTCAGAGCCTGCGGCCCTTTCAGATTCTGTATGTCTCCCCCATGCCTCCCTGTCATGCCTGTCTCAAAAAAAATAAAAAAAAAAAGAAAAAAAAGTTAGTTTAGCACAGTGCCCGGAACAGAGGAAGGCTTAATTTGATTTATTAAAAGGAAACAAATTTTTAAAAAAGCTATAAAAAATACTATTTTTTTTTCTTCAAAATGTACAAAGTACAGTGTGGAAAAAAAGACTTCAATTATGAGCCAGGCTTTAAAATATATTTTAGCAAATCCATATTTTATTTCAAAGCACGATGCTTCAGTTAATAAATTTTCTTTTTATGCAAAAAGAAGGGGGGGGGGGAACGGAAGTCTCTGTTAAGTACTCAGAACAAGGCCTAGCACCTAAGGAGTTTTATGTCCCGGCTATTACTAAAAATTTAGGGGCACCTGGCTGACTGAGCCAGTAGAGCCAGGGACTCTTGATCTCAGGGTTGTTGGTTTCAGCCCCACTTTGGGTGTAGTTTACTTAAAAATAAAATCTGTTTAAAAAAAAAAAAAAAGGATTTAGAAAACGTTTGGGCTTGTGGTTAAAAAGGTACCAGCTTTTGAAAGGATTCCTAGGTAGGAAACACTGTCATAGCAAATTGAGAGTTTTCGTAATTGGGAAAAAGCTATTATTTGCGCCGGAGAGTTATGCGGTCTCTGCTACCAAGTGCTGCCTCATCCTTGGGGCTGAACTTTAGTCAACACCAGGGTACCCTAAGATGAAAACGCATTTGCCCATATGTGACCGAGGAAAAAAACAACAACAAAAAACAAGAGGGCAGACCCCGGAGACTGAAATGCCAGGGGAAAACGAAGTCTCAAAATTGCTTCTTAAGGGAACAGAGTAAAAGAGCCGATCGATAGCCCGGGATTGCACTAAGAAAGTGAAGCCGAGGCAGAGGTAGTGTCGGGAGCGAGGAGAGGGCGGCGAGCTGGCCAAGAAGGAAGAAGTACCGAGGGGAACGGCTAGGAAGGGTGGCCGGATCAGGATGGTCCCTGCGCGCTCCGGCCTCCGCCGGGGCCGCCTCACCCAAGTTGGGCGCCGCAGCCCCGACAGGTCGGTCCGGCGCCCGGCTTCACCAACAGCACCCGACTACGCGCCGCTGGGATCGTCCCGCCCCACCCTCCCCGGCTGACCCCACCACCCCACGGCCCGGACCCCTTATCCCGGCTTCTCCTTCCAGATCCGAGTCCCGCGCCCGGACCCCAGCTTCCTCCACCCCAAGCCCGGGCCTCTCACCCCGGCTCCAGCCCAGGGTCCTCCTTCCGGGTCCGAATCCCGGATCTGGACCCCGGCTTCCTGCCCAGGGTTCCCCTTCCAGCTCCGACTCCCGCACCCGGACCCCGGCTGCCTCCGCCTCCCCAGGCCTGGGACCCGCAGCCCAGCTCCCCCTTCCAGGCCGAGTCCCGTACCGTGACCCCGGCGCCTCTCCCCAGGCGCGGCTCCTTCTCCTGCCACGCTGCCCGCCCTCCTCTTACCTCCCAGGCGGCCGCCGCGGCACTCGCTGGGGTGTGGGTGCGCCGAAAGCCGGGTGCGCGACAGCGAGCAGGTGCGAGGTTGCAGCCGCGCGGGCCTCGGGTCTGGAGCGGCCGCTGCTCGCCCGGTTGGGCGCGCCTGGTCGCTTCCGGTGCGCCGAGGTTCTCGAAAGACTTGGTGGTCAGCAAGCCCCGGGTCTCAAACACCATGTCCTCTAGGGGCCTCGCCTCGCCTCTCTGTGTTCGG